AACATTTTTACAGTTATTTGTTCCAATATATCTTCCATTCTATATACTCTTTAAGTTTTTTTATGTAATAAATTTGTAAGTAGATATTTATGTATGTACATTTTGTTGTATTGTATCTTCATGTACATAATTGTGTGTTATTTTCCTTAGTTGCATGATTGTATTTTTTTCTTTTTTTTTTGATAATATCCTGAAGGGAAAACATATTATATGTGTCATGTATGTATATTATATTATTGAAAAATCTATATATACTAAATAATTATACATATTATGTATATGGGTATTTTAAGTATATATATATGTATATGTACATACGATATATAGCTAAGAAAAAGTAAAGAAAAAACAAGTTAGCATTTTTTATAGTGAACAGTAAGAATTTTTTATAGTGGTTAATAAGGACGGTAAACTGTAGGATAAAAATTTTTAAAAATGAGAAAATATGGTGTTGACCATGTCAACTCTGTAATACCCGTACCAATAATATATATATGTATATATACATATCTAATTTTAATAGGGTTCTGGCGTTTACTATATTAAATTATTTGTGTTTACTATAATAAATTATCGTTGGGACGGATGTACGGGAGGACAGAGCTAATTCGACTCAGAAGCATATACTGGAGTCTATATCTCAGACCATTATTTCTTAGCGTTATAAACGGTAAGTCAAATTTAGTTTAAACAGTACGTGTAAATTAAAAACAGCGAGCTTTTGTTATGAATTTAAAATTAATTTCATTATACTTTATAAGAATTTTTATATACGGATATCCGGCTAAAAATGTAACAAAAAAAAAAATGGACAATATGCACTTTTTTCACAACAAATTTAGAAACGTATGCACTTTTTATAGTACGTAAATGGTTGGTCATTCATTGTAAAAATGAAAAGAAAATAAAATTGGTTAAAAGCTATTTTCCATCCATTCATTCTTAAATGTACATAAAAGTAATCTTATATTATTACTTAATGCATGTGTACTTGGATTATCACACAAAAATTAAAATTTGGGTGAATGAAAAGGATTTTTCTTTTTAAATAAAAACGCTTTTAAATTGACAATTTATTTTCTTAAACGAGATTTTAAAAAAATTAAAAAATCTTTATTTTTTTGTTTGAACTTGTAGTTTTGTAAGTTTTTCTTTTCCAACATTATTGGAGGGTCGAATTAAATAAGTTCGTTGAAAATGGTACGGTATTCTGTTAAAATTTAGTTAATAATGAAATAGAATAGAAGAATATTAAATAATATAAAATTTTTCTCAAATTTTGATAATTTAGGAGTCTTAAACTATATTAAGAAGCTTAAAATTTACTGTATTTGTTTTAAAATTCTAATCATGAGCTTTGGGTGAGATTCTCATGATATAGAAGTTCTATAGTGAATGTTCAAAAAATCGGAGCGAATTCTAATATCTTTAATATTTTTCCAATCAGTTAAGAGTTTTTGCAAATTATTTTTTCGACAAAAGCTTAATTGAAATTAACTGAACTAGCCGTAATAGGAGGATCAATAATTTTGCTTAAATTTTTTACTATTAATGGCAAACCTGGGATAATTTTTCAATTGCACAAAATAATTGTGCAGTTTTGTACTAATTTTAATAGGTGAATGAGAAGTTAAAACATTTACTGTATATGCATGTTGGGATATCTTCATTAAAATCTTTGTGTTGGAAATTTGATAATGACGTAATACTGGAATAAGTTAAAAAGTTAAATTTAACGCCCATGTAAATGGAGATAAATATGGATTATAAAAGAGCCTATAAAAGGTGAAGAATTAATGTTACGAGTTTCAGTTTTTTCGGAGAAAAAGCAAAATGCTAAAATAGTTAGCATAGAGTGATTTCCATTATTTTTTTCGGAAATTTATCTGCTGACACAACACCCTTTAAAATACGTGTAATTCTGCTTCATAGAACGTTTTTGTTTTAATAAAAAAAATTGGTTGACTTAATTCGTTTCGCCCATTAAACAAACAATAAACGCCTCCAAATAATAAACAATGAAATTTTTTTTTTTTTTTCGAACAAAAATAATGAAAGAATAAATTAAAAATATTGTGGTTATTTTCTCACATATTTGAGGTAATAGGCATTTAAGAATTTTCAACGATACCATTTTTATCTTATATCTAACAATAATTATTATAGTGGGAAGGGTCAGGCAAAATATTCCTTTTAATATCCTTTTTTATTTGTGTTTGTTTATGTTTGCGTCGTTTGTCTTATATATTATCATATTTAGAATCTAATTTCAATAAATTATTGAAAAATATGTGTAAGTCTAGGTTTAAAATAACAAAATATTTTTTTTTATTGAAATTTTATTTTTCTGTTTTGTAAAACGATGTGCTTTGTGTTTCATTTATTTAATATTAGGAATTGAAATTATAAGAAAAAAAAAAATACATTCTAGCACGTATATTATAATAGCGAGTAATTTATATTCGGAACGTGACTTTAATATTATCTTTTGCAATGGTATTCACTGAGTTCCACTGATATTCCAAAATAAACTTTTTAAAATTTATTTTACATATTTTTCGAAATTTTTTTTTTTTTTTCAAAATATTTTTATGGTGATTTCATGTAAAAAGTCCGGAAATATCAACAATTGGATATACTTATATATCAAATACAAAATATTATGAGGCTGAGTTTTTTTTTTCTCTTTGAAATTTAATTTAAAAAAATAGAATATTTTAAAACGACCTTTTATAATGAAATGAATAAAAATTTAACAAAAAAAAAATTAAAATAAAACAAAATGTGTGAAAAAGGAAAAAAATAGAGAAACGAAAGCAAACTTTTAAGCAAAGAAGCACGTTTTAGTAATTTAACAAAGCGATTTTGATAGCATTTTCTAAAAGGTCTTTTCATTATACAATGGATACTCTAATTTTAATATCTAACTCTCATATTAAAATTATAGTGAAAAAATAAAAAAAAATAATTGAGGATAATAAAAAGAAAATTATATTCATAGGCATTTTTGTAAGGATAAAAACAATTGACATTAATTGACCCCTAATTAAAAAGAAGAAAGAAAATTAAAATAATTAAGAGAAAAGCAAAAAAATTTAACATTTCTATAGTAAAGAGAAAAGTAGAGAGAATTTGTAAAGAAAATTTTTAAATTTCATTAAACTTTCGGAAATATAAAGGGATTGAAATGCAATGATTTAGTTTTTTTGAAACTTGTTATCGGTATTAGAAACAGTATTAGTGACAGTTAGCAGTTGACAGGTGATAGTTGACAGATGGAAGTTGACAGGTGACAGATGACAAGTGATAGTTGACATGTGGCAGATAACATTTGACAGGTCATAATTGACAGATGGCAGTTAAAAAGATGACAATTGACAGTTTGACAGGTGTTAGGTGAAAGTTGACAGGTGACGGATGACAAATGACGGGTTAAAGCGACAATGACAATTGGGACATGAATCGGCGGGACCTATTATGTTTAGACGTTTATTACTTTATGTCTATTTATCATACAAGAACAAGCAATAATTTCATCTGGAACTCATTAATAATTTCAAAATTGGTGTATGCAGATAAATTTTTTATCACCTTTATTTAAAAAAAAAATTTTTTTTATTTTTCAATCATTTTTAAGAAATTATTCTAAAAATAGTTTTAATTTTAATTTGACTTTTTAACTCGGTCGGAAAGAAACTATTCTTCTGGACCATTAAACATTATAAGCTCTTTGATGTTGATTTCAAAGTATTGTAATTGGAAATATTTTAAATTTAATTTTCTGTTATTTATTTTTATCAATAAAATATTGTCAACAATTTTCAATTTAAAAATTAAAATTTCTTTTGAAAGTACACAAGCTTTAAAAATAAAATAAGAATTGCTGAAATTTTAAAGTTTTTTTTTTTTAAATTCTAAAAATATTGTGAAAATTCAAAAGATTTAATTGAAATGAATGAAAGGCTTCTTAGGCCTATATAATAATAATTCTTGGTGGTATCAAAAGTATATACAGTGGAGCAATAAATACAACAAATACTTAACATTAACTCGATTATGTCCGCAATACAGATATTCCGTAGTGATGAGGGTTTTTCAACTGTTAAAAGTTTGCAACTTTTTTTTGTGTTAATTTTGTAGAACTTAACTTAAGTACAAACTTAATTTTGTAGACTGCAGGAGTAATAAAGAAATAATCAAAATTATTTTTACTATCAATTATAACAAGCTCTATTATTATAATGAGTTCTGTACAATAAACAAAATAATTTGAAACCCATATTATAAAAGATCCTTAAATAAGTTAAGATGCACTTGAAACTAATATTCCTTATGAATTTTTAGTAATAAATAAAGTTAATATTGTTATATTAAATACATAAATATTTTGTTGAAGATAAGTGCCATAACTGTGCATTTATAATAAAACTCTAAGAAAGAAGGACACTTTTTCTGTATTGAAAAAATTTGTCCTTTTTTTTTTACTTTTCTTGTTACTAATTCTTTATTTGAGTACCTTGGGAATAAAGGGAATCGGTTTTCTTTTTTCTAAAAATATGGGAGTGGTTTTTCTTTAATATTTTCTTTTCTCTTCATTTTTTTTGTACTTTTACCTTTGAAATTTTGTTTGAAGCCTAAGAAAAAGAAAAAATCGAATTTGTTTTTTTTTCTTTCTATTTCTGAAAAGGGGGAGTTGAAAGGAAATAACAGAAAAATCTTTCCTTTTCCTTTTCAAAATTTGAAGGATGTCTTATTATGGATGAAAGTTTATTTAGGTAATTTTGATTTTTTTATTTCTTCTGATTGTTAAACAATTATTATATTCATTCCTTTGGTTGGACGAATCATTGAGAAGTATTTTATTCATGAATTGTTACATTAAATTTTAAAGATTTACAAAAAAAAAATGTTATTATACGTATATGTATATATATGTATATAAGTAAATATATATAAAAAGTTTTTAAAAATAACAATTTTTTCAATTCTTTCAATTTTAGGTGAGTTTACATTTAAGTGTTACTGAAAGATTTAACGTTTCATCATTGCTATAGATGTGAGTGATGGTAAAAATTTTAAAGTTACATAGAATTACGTAGAGCTACTGGATTTTTAAATTAATATTTTTGATTGATATTTTGTAATTTTGATGAAAATTGATTTATTAATAATTTTTTAAATAATTTCAATATATTTGGATCTATTTTTTTTTAACATGTAAATATTTGAATGAGTCCAAACATGTTATTTGACTACAATGAACCCCATATGGGAGAATAGTTGGAGAAATGTTTTGAGAAAAAATTGCAACGTATTATCACACTAAAATGAGCATGGTATTCATTTCGATTTTGTGCTATAAAAGCTATAGCTAGTAGAGGAGTAAGAATAAATAAGATCTAAGAAAAAAAATGTCCCATCTTTAACGTCTAACATGTTACAGTTGTATTTTTAAAAGCTGTCAAATTTTAAAATTTTGCGAAATGTAAATATAGTTTTAAATACAAATTAGTTATTTTGTTAAAAATTTTGAAATTTTGAACATTTTTCAATCAAAAATATTGTAAATTATCCTTTTGTTTATTATATTTAATTTTAAAGGGAATATTCTTCCACTAATATAATCAACTCCTTGGGTTTTTCGAAATTGCAAAATTACATTTGCCTTCAATCATATTAGTTAAATTGACAAAATTTAATATTCTTAGTGTGTTTAATACTCAAATTTATTATTATCATGTGTATTTACTTAAATAACTTGTCATTATATAAAAAAAAAAAGAAAAAATGAAAGAAACAAAAACAAAATATTAAAACTAATTACAAAATTCTCTGTTTATGAAGATTCATCAAGGATTCGTTTATTTTTTTTTTGCAAAATTATTTCTAATAAAAAATTCATAAATTTAGAAAGAACTTAACAAAAAATTTCGTTTAAGGTGGAAAATAACAAAAACAAAAATAAAACACAAAAAAGAAATGTTAAAAGCTTTGTTATTTGCGCTTTTGTATGTAAATAACTGTAAATTGTAAATTTCAGCGGTTTTAATGATTGGTATAATTAAAGACACCCACAAAAAAAAAAAAATTTCACATCTGAAAATGAAGTAAAAAAATGATTTTGTTTTTTACTCGTTCTTATAAAAATTTCAACATGAATGTATACAAAAATGTGTAAGTGTTAGAATATATCCTTTTTTTTTTGATGTTGTAGTAATAAACACACGTGAGATATTACAAAAAATGTGGATTAAAATTTCAAGCTAAATTTAACCACAAAAATTTTACAAACTTTATGAAATGTGTGACAAAAAGTAATAAAAATGAATGACATTTAAATGAAAAAAATTACATAAGGAATTTTAAAAGTTCAACAGAAAGAGAAAAAAAAAATCAATTGTTGACATGAAAAAAAAATTTTTTTGTTTTTGTGTGTGTTTTTGTGTGTGGGCTCTTTAAATACTCAAAGTATGAGTGTTATGAAATTTCGTATTATTTTGCAAACTCAAAGACGAAATTTTTTCAAAAATTTTAGGATTTATGTTGCGTTTCATAATCATTGTTATGATCGCCTTTTGAATAATCGGGTAAAATTTTCAAAAAAAGAAAAAACAATTTGAAAAAAGTATTATATACCATCTGTTACGAAACTTTTACAATAATCAAGATAACTCGTTGAAATTTTTTCTTGTTGAATAGTGAGGAAATAATCATATTTGTGAGGAAATTATTCCTTTGACATAAAACTTTCGTTGATAATAATTTATAAATTCAACAATAGCAGAAAAGAGTGGATTCGATTTTTTTTTGCGCAATATTTGAAGGTTTTTTTTTTTTTAAATATTCTTGTAGTATATGAAAATTTACTTTTTCTTTAAAAATCTAATTTTAATTAGCATATTTTCTAAATCAATTATCCTTAGTTTTGATTCTTCATAAACGCCGACTCGGAAAATTCTTAAATTTTTGTAGTTTACAAATAATAATATGTAATATTATAGAACAATATTTTTCGGCTTATTGAGCTTCAAATTTTGAAAAATGAAAGCGTTTTATCAACCGTTCCATATTCTTTAATTTATTGTAAAAAAAAATTTCGTTAAACAATTTTGTGCTTTCTTGAAATAAATTTGTTGATGATATAGCAATATTTTGTCGAAAATCGAATAATTTCCCCCAGCATTAAAACCGGCTTTGCGGAATACTCTTTTTAAGAATCAAATAATTTTATAATTGTTGGAAATTGAACGGTTTATTGATCATCAATAATTAATAAATTTGATCATTGAGAAACTAATGAACAGCTTTCGACGATCAAATTTTGCCAAAAAATTAAATTATTTTTTTTTGGTTGTGAATTTTTTTCGAAAAGAATTTATATACTCCTTAAAGTCCACTATTCTTATATTTGTATTTATTAAATCACAATAATTATAAAATTCAAATCAAATACCATAAGAAAAGCTATAAAAAATATTTATTTTTTCATTTTTATATTTTTATTGTGCGATACTAAAATAAATTTATTTCCATAATATAATATTTTCCAAGAATAATATCTTTATATAATTTCTGACCGATTATACTCTTGGGATACTTCTACCCTTGTTCAATGTTCAATATTAGATTCATGAAATATTTAGTAATTTTTTTTTTAAAGGAAAGGTGATTATTTTTAATACATATTATTCTCAAGAGATTTTTTTTATAATACTTTGAAAGAAAAATTTATTTGATTAGAAATTTTGAATCTAAATTAATTACCTTTATTTTAAGTAGTCATTTCTGCCTAAATATAAATTTTATTGATGATTGTTTTTTTATCCAGTTCGTAAATTTGTAATTAATTAATTAATTATTTGAATCTGTAAAATATTTGAAATGATATGGTGAAATTTTGTTTTTGTATATATCTACATATATGACTTAGATTTCAAGAAAGCTTTTGACACAATTAAGTGCGCTACGATATGGAAAACACTTAAGGACAGGAGAACCACCGACAAAATAATCCGCGTAATCTAAGCGCTGTATGAAGAAGCCGAGCTCGCAGTACTATATATAGAGGAAAAAATTAGCGAACCTTTCACAACCCAGTCAGGAGCCCAACTGTCACTGATGCTCTTCATCTATCGTACTAGACATTGTCCTACAAGTCGTTTGCTCACAGAGAGGAGGTATAATCTAGAATCTCCCTCAACACCTTGAAGATCTAGATTATGCGGATGACATCTGCTTTCTCTTCCACAAGATCAGTGATATGCAGAGTAAATTAAAACACCTTGAAAAACTTACTAGCTATGTGGGTTTAGATATAAACATGGACTAAACCAAAGCGATAAAGATAAATACCACTAGCACAATCGGGCAAGGCAGCCATCACCGATATGGAAAGGCAGCCAGATATCCAGAACAACTAAGCTCAGATTATTCCGGGCCTATATTGGCATAGATTTGCAGATTTGTACAACGGGAGCAACAGTGCACCGCGACCCCGTATAAGGATCTATTATGCGCCCAGGAGCTCCTTGGTTTGCTGCAGCCCCGGAAGACTTCTCCAGTGCTCCGACCGCCTTCTTTCTGATTCCTTCCTTAATTCCCAACAAATAGTATGTGGTCCGATTCCGCAGAAGGGCTCCAGCCCAAGAAGAGGTGTGTTTGCCTCCTTCCTTGCAAGTGCATCGGCGGCCTCATTTCCTGCCACGCCCACATGGCCCGGAACCCAACACAGTGTGACCCGGTTGCATGTGCCTAACTCATTGAGCTTTTCAAGACAGCCCCATACTGCCGCGGAGGATACTGAAAACGAGTTCAGCTCTCCGATCGCAGCCCGCCTATCAGACATAATCATTATCTCCTGTCCCGGATGCCCTCTTTCCAGATTGAACCGCACGCACATTTCAATGGCGTGCAACTCAGCCCGAAACACACTCGGAAAAGTTCCCATAGGTTCGGAGAATTTAGTTCTAGGCCCTAATACCCTTGCACCCGCCCCAATACTGGTCTTTGACCCATCTGCGTACCATCTAATAACGTGTGTTCAAACTGGGCGACCTGAAAAGTCACGCTTCCAGTTCCTTCTGTTACTCAACAACGAGGTAAATTTTTTCTCGAAGATGTACCTCCTTATATAAAAGAACTTTAAAAATCAAATAAACATCATTCAAAAATGCATTGAACCATTAGCAGTAGTTTTGATAATTTCTTTATTAAATTCATAGTTTCTAAGTGAACACATCAAAATATTTATTATTCTACCTACACACAAATATATTTTGATTCATTTCAATTTATACATGCATTTATACATGTACATATATAATATAATTTCAATTGGATTTGTCATTAAAATATTATAAAATTTGTTCAAAAATTTATTAAATTATGTGCACTTATTGTTATCTTAGGGAATTGTTATCCATTATACACTGAATTCCTTCATATATTGTCAATTATTAAAACATTATAACGTTTGAAATTCCAGTCAGGCAACAAGAATAAAAGATGAACAAAATAATTTTCGAAAAAATAAAACATAAGAAATAATTTTCCAATATTTTTGATATCCATACGAGTAATATTATAAAATAATTGTTATGTTCTTTTAACAGTAATCTTAAAAATATTTATTTCATTTCTTTAGAATTCGGAAATTATACAAACTGCCAGATACTCGTAATATAAAATTTGAACATCTACTCATTTTTATCATTAATTTATGACGCAAGAATATTTTATATAATTTCTAACATTTTTGATTCAACAGAATCACGTATTTGCTTTAAATTTAATATACAGTTTTGTATATGAAGTAGATACACGAGTACATGTATAAAATTTTATTGTGAACCTAAAGTCATACTGTACGAACTCGTTTTTAAAATCTCTTTCAATTTTTAATTTAATAATTTGATGCAAAAGAATAATTTAACACAAATCATACATTTAATCCCTTGTTGTTTTGCACTGTGCTTGAAACACTATAAAAACACTTACCTTACAATAATTTTTAAAACGCATACATCTAGGTATTAAATAACTTTTATGCCGTAAAAATGGGGACATTGTATATTAAGTAAAAACTTTTGTTTTAACTTATACTGTCATCGTACACAATGAATG